ACCCCTGACCCTTTTGATTTCAAAACATGGCAATGCAATGCAGGGCCCCCTAACAAATGGGAATATAATGCATCTTAGGAGGTAACAGAAAGGGGATCTACCAATGGGGACACCACTAAAAGGTGTGAGCCACAATAAATGAGATGTCCACCAGATTAAGATATTCAAGATAGCATTTTCCTATGAAAGCAGCCTCCTGTCCTCTGCTTGAAATATGTGGATTCTAGCAAAACTGTGTATTTGGTTTCCTGTCTTTAAAAATTAACACAATGCTTTATTAGAATTGTTTTTCTGTTCAAACGTACAGGGAGACGAATCTGTATGTATTGTGCTTGATGTATAATGGAGTAGCAGGCAACTGGTGGCCCATGGGCCACGCTGGTCTGCAGATACCCTGGTTAGGCTACTATTTATCAATGCCCCTTTAATGCAAGTGCTGATGCAAGTGCTGATGCAAACTACTTCACAGGAGAAGAAGAAACTGAGACACTTGTGGCTTCCTATTCACAGGTTCCGTGGCGGTCCTCCCCACCCACCCCTGGACAGACATTTCAGCCTCTACCAACTGTAAGCATACTGACAACAGTATGAGAGTAAAGGGCCATTCTAGTTATGGATCCCTTTGACTGGGGAATCAACAATTCAGAGGCAGTTAAGACTTGGGTGGAAATACAATTAATCAAAAAAGTCAGGGAGTTCATTTTTTTACCGCATGAAAGATCAAGAGGATTTTTAACAATTTAGAGCATTTCATTCTAGGCAGGCCAAAAGTTAATAGAGTCCAGCTTTCATTGTTACCAGAATATCACCCCCACAAACAGAGCAAAAGAAACTGTGATATCAAACCTCCCTAATGGCAATTTTGATATTAAACATTTGGGTTCCATATACCCCTGTCATGGTCCATATCAGACAGGCCCAGAGAGTTTTTCAAAATCTGAAATGTTTCATTAATTTATCTGTTTCACCCACTTCACTATACGCTGCATCTAATCTGACTTTACAACATCAACTCCTATGAAAAAATAACCTGCCATAATCCAACCAAGAAAATATTCTAAAGCAACAAGTCTGAGTAAGAGATACAGTAAGTTCACCCACCAAAAAGAAGAGAGGGAGTCAAAAACCCTACCTGAGGGATTTCAAGACAACATTTCGGTGGAGATAATTTTTCCTTAAAACTGGTTCTGAGTAAATAGTATAGAGGACTTCTAAATGTGGGTATTGAATACCCCCCCCCCCGCAATCTTAGTTCTCTGCTTATGAGTATTTCTATAAATTGTTCTGAACATGTAAAAGCTGTTTCAGTTACAGGGGCCTGCGCTAGCAAGGGGGATCATCTATAAAGTTATAAAAAGTTATATTTTGGAATGTCATTTCTCCCTCAATATTTCCATGATGGAATGGTCTCTTTTCAGCCTACCAAACATTTTTTTAAAATGTATAAAGAACACAGACCTACATTTGGCTTTGCTTCCTATAAATCCAAAGAAAATGCTAATAATCTTATACACAAGACTTCCAAGGCATTGGCTTAAGATGACAGGGTACTTTTGTGCCTCTGGAAGATGTAATTTACTCTTTTTTTAAAAAGTTCTGTTTTTAAACAATATAAGCTTAAAGGCTCTTCAAAATGACCCCCAAAAGGTATACAAATTTATATTACAATCCTAATATCTCACCTAACGAAAAAGCAGCATATGAAGATGCGTATTTTTAAAAATTTCCCCCCACATTCAGTACTGTGCATACTGAGAGCAAAAAAACTATTTCTCCATACATTAAGCACTTAATATGAAAGTATTCTATTTAAATGCACAAAAAACAAGCGAAGCTCATTGGTGGTGGTGGTTTTTTCAAGGTTAAAGTTGCTTGTGTTGCTTCTGTGTGTCCATTTTTGCCAGTGTTTACAACATCCTAGGAAGCTAGAATTAGACTGCTCGGTCTCCAAGTCAGAAGTATATCCCCCCCCCTCCCCCTGCCTGCTCCCTCCCAAGGACAGCCACGCCGCTCCAAATCATCAAGGCCACAAAGTCGGAAGCACAGTAAAATCTAAGGAAGGGATGAAGCAGTCTTCGGAGGTGCGGAGTGGTCTGGATGGCTTCCCCACAAGCTGAGCTGCTACTGAACGGCATCCGATATGCCCGCCTCCAGAGACGTGGGGCATGTGTGTGGAGGATGGATGGTCACCACCGCGCCATGGGACACAGAGATCTGCGACATGTCTCTTCCTATGATCTCATTCACTGAAAGGGGGGGAGAAACAATAGGTCAGCATGTTTTTCCAGTTCTTGTAAGGCTTGCTCGACAGAGCTTTAAAACAAACAACCCCCCTGCATACTTATTCACGTTAAATAACATTACAACTTCAAGGTTTAAAGATTTGTAGTGCTAGTTTGTTTGTTTGTTTTTTAAAAGGAAACAAAAAACATGGAGACTAAAGTTTCTCAACAGTGTAAAACTGTAGACAGACAGTTTTGGGCATCTGCAAGTAGGATTCACCAGCTTTCCATCCATTTTTAAAACTGGCTAAGCAGATACCACTGATCTGTCCCACTAGCAGAGATGCCAGGGACAGGCCAAGGGTTTCTGGTGCCCTAGGCATGCTATGATTTTGGCACCCTCCCATTCAATAGAATGAAGTCATCCCATTGAACCTCTATTAAACAGGCAGGACATTTTTTGCTCCAGGTTGTTGGCAGCCATAGGCTTAACAGGCCAAGCATCTGGCTTCGTATAAAGCAGCACTCCCTTAACTCCGTACAGGCTTTCTGGCATGCCTCTAACTCTGGTGCCCTAGACAAACCACTAGATTTGCCTAGTGGTCAAACCAGCCTGAGACATGCATTTCTCTGGTGGAAGAAAGAGCTTACTGCATCAGGGAAAGGATCCCTTGGCCAGAGCAAGGTGTCTCTATGGAATCCAACCCTGCAAACTAAGAAGAACTCACAGAACAAGCAACAGCCTCCCTCAAGAGATGACCTTTGTTTCTTTGGATGCACCGTCAGACATGAGCCACAGAGATGCAGAGGGCCACCAAGTTCTTGGAAACAGACCCATCAAAGCATACCCCCATGATACTCCAGCAGAGCATTGCACTTCACCAGAACAGTTCTGAGCAGCAAGGCCACAAATGGTTTTTCTCTACTGCCCACCTCAAAGGAGCTTCTTACCTGCCTACTAATTATGGCTTCCAAGCTCAGCAAACTAAGCAAAGCTCAGAGGTGCTGCAGCTCCCCTGCCCCCCCTCCCCCCCCTGCTTGTCTCCGCAGTAGACTGACAGACCCAAGATTTTGAAAGCAGCAGGTCTGAATACGCCAAGATCAGGATTCAGCTTAGATCCTGCTTCTCTCCTCACGTCTTCCTTGTTTCTGTTCTGTTCAGAGAGGTTTTCTCCTCCCATTTAACTACAGGGATTATAAAGCAACATCTTGGTTTTATTCTGGAAGAATACAGTCACTTCCCATTTCATTGCACTCACAAGAAATTTGCACGTACCACTACGCAAGTACCTGACAAAGTTCACAGGCAGGGGAAAGGGAGGGAAAGCTTGCAGCATGCTCTGGTCTCTTGCCTTAAGTCTTCCTTCCAGCACTCCCCCAGCTCCAGTTTCCCCCCTTCCCTCTGATTCACAATGTGGCTGATCCGGGATGAGTTGTAGGCACCACTGGAACCTTTCCAGTTTCGGCAAGCACAAAAATTCCCAGGAAACTTGACATATAGTGATGTGTGCAAACAGCTCACTTAGACCTCTACAATCATCATTCCCATACTTACAAAACTGATCAAGTTGGTCGTTTGTTTGTTTCTTCCTTAGAAGCCAAGTCTCCACAGCCTTTCGCTACTCTAACATGGCCAGGAAGACCATGAGAACTGTGGGCCCAGCCAGCATAGAGACAAGGAATTTTCTGTGGTGGCATCTCATATTTGGAATGCCCTCCTCCTTGAGGCTTGCCTGGCTCCTACTTCACTTTCTTTTAGCCACCAGGCCAAAACACATCTTTCCCCCCGCCCCAGGCTTCTGCTTCTGTTTTATAGATATTTTTTATGCTGTCTATGTCCAATCACTTGTTTTTACTGGCTTTTTTTTTTTGATACTGTGGTTTCTAACAGTAAGCTGCCACAAGCAGGGCTCTGAAGAAGCAGCGCAGAAATATCCTAAACAAATAAATAAGGAATGTTAACACTAACACCGAGTTGCTTGCTGAGGAAATGTTATTTATACCCTTATTAAAGCACTATAAACAGAGTTTTATCAAGCAACATACAAACCAGCAATATTTTATTTTTCAGTTGTAATGGCAGCTGTCCTTGGGATACTGCAAGATATTGAACCAGCTGCTGTTCAAGTCAGCGGCTGCCACTGCTTGCTTCTGCTACATTCTTGATAAGAAATGGAAACACTGGACTCCAGCAAAGAAGATGGATCTGGAATTAGACTGCTGCTGATTTCCAGTTAGATTCTGGCACTGTATTCTGTGCTTCCATCACGAGACAGCTACTATTAACTGTTCAACGGTTTTTGGTGGGCTTTTTTCCTACAAGTTTTGCTTAACAGAAAGAGACCAACAGCATGAAGACAGAACAGTATGATGCTGCCTTTAAATTGCAGCTGGATGCAAACCTTCAGCCTGTGAAACTTGCAGGCAGGGTCTGCCCCCCTCTCTCTCACACACAGAGTAACAGCTACCATTGTCAAAGTTCCACCTCCTTTCTACCTATGCATCCTTCCCATTAATACTCTGTTCTGTGTTAGAACTGTTAGAAATTAATTAACTTGTCCTACCTCCAAAGACTTGGGCTCTTTCGAGCTTCCATATCCAGTAACGATGGAAGCATCAAAGTCTGCAGCCTGCAGTTTTCTCAGTCTTGTCTCATCTCTCTAATGGGGGGGGGGAGGAATACTGGAAAATCACTTGTTTCCCCCTGCGAATCTACACATCTGTGCTTCAATATCCCATGCGTCTATCCTAAATTGATATACAGAATATAAGTTGGCTGAACAGCTCAATAAAATGTTACGTGAAACTTACTGTTGGATTTTGTAATTTGATTTGAGTAGTTTATTAAAAAATTGTCATTAAAAATTCTTCTTTTAATGCTGTCAAAGCTGATGGCCTTAACTTGCACTTATATTGGCTTTTATCTGGTTTCTGAGACATTGGCAACCACCCCAGAAGCCTATGTTGAGAGATGGAGTACAAAAATCTCTTAAAATAATACAGGGAGATTTTGGAACATCACTGCTGGCTTTTGGTTTCTGATGCTCCAGAAGGGTTAAATCCCACTTTTTCTTCTTGTCTGAAAACATATAGGAGTGGGCACAAACTGCCTGATGAACTGAAGTTCGTCACAAATTTTGGCTGGTTCGTGGTTCACGAAGCGATGTGCGCGAACTGGAAAACCATCACAAACTTTCGCGAATTCTGATGCAGTTTGTGGTGGTTCGTCAAAAGCAGAAAGCAGGGGTTTAAAACCCTTGCTTTCTGCTATTCATGAAAAACAGCTGAGCAATGGGGGAGCTCAGCTATTTGGTTTAAATGGCCACCTGCTTTCTGTTCCCCACAGCTTTTTCACGGGGAGTAGAAAGCAGGGGTTTAAACTTCAAATGGGTCACTAACTGATAAGAACCGGGTCAGTTAGTAAACCAACCCCTCCTGGCTGAACCATGAACCGAACCACAAAAATGTGGTTCCTGCCCATCCCTATATAGGAACTCTATGAGAATTGACCGTCCACTGCATTAACCCTAACCACCACAAACCACTAGCAAGTCTTGGAAACCCCAATAGCCAAATTTTTCATTGCAAGACCAATCCACACAATTAGGAAGTACATTAACATTCACTTCTAAGTGAACTGCATTTAAAGTAGACAGATTGACTCCTTTCCGTACAAGTAATCAATGTTCATGAAAGAACACACACAGTGGTAGCTCACCTGATAAAATACTGTACTGGTAGAAGCATCAGTAAGAAAGGCCTAGAATATATTTCTGCAGGATTTTTACAGGAATTCCAAGGGATTATGTTTATATGTATTTTCAGAGGGATACTCAAGGGACAAAGTGGCTTTGAGAGGAAGGAAAGCAAAATGGGAATCCTGTTTGCATGAGCTTGAAGATTTGGAATCCCAGACTCCTTAATTACCTGCTGACCATTTAGAAATTATTTTGAGGGAGTATAGTTGTTAGCAGAACAGATGGCAAGTGACATTTGATGAAGTTGCTGGAATGAACTGCTTTGCCTTTTGATCTTTAAGGTAGAAGTATATACACAGGCAAGCTTTACAAATATTTATTTAGTTACTTTATGTGGTTAGTACATTTTATGTCACTCTTCCTGCAAGAGGCTCATATACGTCTTCCATTTTACCTTCACAACAGCCTTGTGTGGTAGCTTAGGCTGAAAAATGGTTGCAATGGTTGTAATTAATTTTGGGTTAATTAAATAATGTAAATAATTTGAGACTAATTAGATGATTATTAAATAGTTGCTATAGTTATTTACTTGAATATATTGAGTGATCAAATTAACAGAATAATTTAGTAATAGAACTGTCCAGCCAATTGATTAGGAAGATGAATTATGGTTATTGATTGATTATTGTTTAGTCATGCTGGCCACATGACCACAGAAACGTCTTCAGACAGCACTGACTCTTCAGCCTGGAAACGGAGATGAGCACCGTCCCCTAGAGTTGGATTCAACTAGCTTTCAAGCAAGGGAAATCTTTACCTTTATATGTTTAAAAAGGGGGGAAGAAAAAAAAAGTCTATCCCTGGCCTTTATTTAGGTCACTGGCCAGAGGAATCGGGGTCTATTTGGCAATCAATTATTGGAGTGGGTTGGCAGGATAGGTTAGGTAGCTGAGACCTAGCAGCACTGGGAATCGTAAACGAGTAGGGTAGCATATACTAAGGTGTTGTGTGTCAACTAGCTCAACCTAGTGGCTTGCGAAGACCACTAGAAGCGGTGACAACGGGGCAAGGGAATCCAGTGCTCCTGGGGAGGGGAAAGTACAGCGGTGGGACGAGGCACAGAGACAAGGGAAGGGGATGGAAGAAGTGGAGTGGCATGGCCCCCTTCCAGCCTACGTCCCATCCCAAGGGTTGCCGGCAATGGGGCTAGGACAAATGACCCCCCCTCTGACATTGGTGTTGTGTAATGCCAGGTCTATAAATAATAAGACCATGGTCCTCCAGGACTTTCTGCTTGAGCAGAAAGTAAACTTGGTGTGCATGACC